GCCTCGTTGTACAGTAGGCTTGATAAAACATCTGCTCTTGCAAATGTTGGCCATGCGAGTGTTTATGCAGTGATGCTTCTCCCAGGGGATCTTTAGGACCAGACCAGACCGCCACGAGTTCCATTTTTGCCTCTTACTCACTTGGTGACTTTGGATAAGTCTCTATGCTAATGGTTTAAACATCTGTGCCTCCATTTTCCAAATCTTCGGCCTTTGCATGCCTCTCCAGAGAGTAAGGAAGATTAATACCTGACAGAATCTTGAGTTCTTTATTTAGAACAAAGACACAGAGAAGGATGGTATTAAAATAATACCTCATTATTTTAAGCAGTCCAAAGTATAAAAGAGAGAAAATATAGTACATTTTTCATCTACAAGTGGAAACTTGAGAAAACATGGACGTTCGCTGAGATCGGTAAAGAGGCCTTGTAAGGAACAAAGCCTCCTGGCGAATGTGCAGGGTTGCAGACACGAACCAGCACACTTTTCAATCCAGAGGGACAACTGTGTGAAGGGCATCAAACTGGAATTGTTCTCCACCGACAAAGGGCAAACAAGAATGCTTTTAATGCTGTGGAAAGGACCATTTCACCTTTTCACAAAACTGTTCATTCTCTCACACGCCATCTGTGTCTTAACCTCAATACTCTTACAGCGTTCAGTGCAATCGAATGTTCGTAGTCTATTTGTAGATTATCTGGTCTCACCTTCAGAACTTGCCATGAACAGATAGCACTGTTTCAATTCTAGACCTGAGTGTTTGGTTTGGTTTGGTTTGGTTTTAATTTTTAGTTGAGCATAGTTGACATACAGTGTTATATTAGCATCAGATGTATGACATTATGCAGTGGTCCGCAACGCAACTGAAGTCACCATCTGTCACCATACAAAGTTATTACAATATTACTGACTATATTCCCTATGCTGCACTCTTCATCCCTGTGACTTATTTATTTTAAAACTAGAAGTCTGTACCTCCTAACCCCTTCTCCCTACGTCACTCATCTCCCACCCCCACTGCTTTGGCAACCACTAGTTTGTTCTCTGTATTTGTGAGTCTGTTTTGCTGTTGCTGTTGTGGTTTGTTCATTCAGTTGGTTTTTTCTAGATTCCACAGATAAGTGAAATCATATGTATTAGTGTTTTGCAGCTATATGTCCTAATCAGCAGTAAGCACTCTTCATATTTGTTTTACACTTTACAACAACAAAATGGTTCACATTCATGACGTCACCAAATCCCCACAAATGCGGAGGTGGGTGTTTTCAGCACCTGTTCTAAAGATGAACAGACAACCTCAGGGGTTATGATTGGTCCCAGTGCATGGGTAGGTGAGTGTAGAGCTAGAATCCAAACCCAAGACTTCTGTTTTCTAAGCCTAAATGCTTATGAAGATTCTGCTCATTTGCAATTCAGAAATTGGAATTGGGCTCAGGGAAGAAGAGCTTGCTCTGATGATCTCTCAGATTGGGCTCCAGGGCTATTATTTCATTTCCTTCTGGACAAGCCAGCCCCAAGTTGATGCTGGCCTTTCTCGAGCACTCACCATCTCCCTGACTACTCTGGCAATCAGTCTGGCTAAAAATGGAGCGTTAATTTGTCTCATTTTACTATCAAAAAGGAAGCTAGACATAAGTGAGAAGAGAAGCTTCCTGACACATGTTTAAGGAAAAAGATCTGAATTCCCAACAGTGTAAGGGGATCCTTTCCAATCGGTTTACTGTAGTCACCATAAATCTAGGAACAATGTGTTCTTAAGCATATCTGGAATGGCCCACATAGAAATGGTTGGTTGTTGTATTAACATATGACATGTGGGCTAAGGAGGGGATTATACACACCCAGGGGAATAAGTTAGGTTGACCTAAGTAAACCAGCTTCTCCACTGTCCTGACTTACGGTGCGAGTGAAAACCAAGGGAGGGAGAGGTGGATCCCAGGCAAGTATCCCAGGCAAGACCACATTGCGGTCCCGGCCCTGAAGCCATCTCCCCTCGTGCTTCCTTCCAGAGCCTGGAGCCAGAGAGATCACCCCCTCTAACACGAGGAAGCAGCTTACTCTGGCCAGGCACCCCTGTGTCTCCCTGAAGTGGCTGTGGGAATAGTGTGTACATGTGTTTGCATGCTTGGGGACTGCTCATTTAGTCACAGGAGGAAAAGGGGAGGGAGACAGTAACTCAGGGCATCACCGTACAGGCTGAACAGCGTGGGCAGGTCTGTTACTGATTTCTGCTCCACGCTGCTTTCTCGATCCAACTGCCATGCATGTTTTTTATTATTCTGTGGATTTGTCTTGCACTGAGGGGTGGGAAAAGGCTGGTGAAGCAATAATCATTTAAGTGAAAGCAAAGACTCTGTGGTGCCCTCTAACAAATTTCCCAGTCTTTGCTAATGCCTTGGGGTCCTCTAGGGTTTAGAATTACAGCTTTCAGTAAATATTCTTAGACCCGCTCTCAACAAGAGCTGCAGTGAAACAGCACCAAGTATGCCATGAGAATCCTTCACCAAATCGTGGGTCCAAACGTGGCTCAGAACTCTGAGGAGTAACAGTGAGAGTCGCAGCAAGCATTTATTGAGCATTTAGCACACCCCGTAGGTCCTGATTCTACTCACTCGACATGGATTCACCGATTTCACCGTCATAACAATGTCAGCCAGGAAGTGCGATCTTTACCTAATTTGGGTAAACGGGGAAAGCGAGGCACAGAGAGGTTACCAGACTCGCCAAGGTCACACAACTCGTAGGTGGAGGAAGCAGGACTCCAAACCACACAGTCAGACCCCAGCATCTCTAAGCTCTCCCTCTTTCCAGGCAGCCGAGAATGGAAAAAAGGCAGAGTTAGTGATGATTTTACACTAACCTCGTCATCACTAATTAAAGAAATGAAACATTCGTTAAATAAGAACAAGTACTCCCTCTTTTACAAACGGGGACATTTTATTTATTTTTAAAGATTTATTTATTAATTTTAGAGAGACAGAAAGAGAGCACGAACGGGGGGAGGGGCAGAGACAGAGAGAGAGCGAATCCTCAAGCGGACTCCCCAGTGAGCGCAGAGCCCAACTCTGGGCTTAATCCCAGCACCCCAAGATCGGGAGCTGAGCCAAAATCAAGGGTCTGCCACTTAGCCCACTGAGCGACCCAGGTGCCCTGGGAACATTTTAAAGTAAGAACTATGTTGTTTCTATCTCTATATTATCAACCTTAAAAATAAAACTGCCAGATATTTTACCAGCAAAAACGCCTTTATTCAAAAATAGCAGAGAATTGCAACCTGGGACACACAAACTTTGGCAAAACCATAGGTAAGTCTGGGAAATAAAAGAGAGGGATACTCTTTTATAGAGGAAAGGCGGACATTGGGAAGGTTGTTATAAACAAAACATCCATTGGAGTAACCTGGGATTTCAAAGTATAGTGACTTTTCATTGGCTGAGTTGTGGCGGACTCTCATTGGCTGGGCTGTTGCCAGGGGAGGAAAAACTTCCTTCCTGCTGCTGAGATAGTAAAGTAATATTCACCTGTGAGATCTGTCCCTTCCTGTTGGGTCTGCAATTACAACGAGTGGTAGGGCTCCCCCTGCTGGCCTCCTGACTCCATCCTAAAAGGTTTCTTTTTCTTAGTTTCACAGTATGGTTGCCAGCCACAAGCCTAGGACATATTGCCAAGCACCTGAGTAAAAGACCTATGGGGAAGCTGTTGGGGGAAGAAAGCTGCTGTGTTTTGCACGTCAGGATGACACTCCTGACCCAAAGCCAGTTAGGCTTCTATGCTAGGCACTGTATCTACTTGTGGTGACAAGTTGTCCTGAGCCATCCAACCTCCATCTTTTCTTCCGTTGACTAGGTGGAGGTGGGAGACAGATGACCTGGGTCTGCGAAGGAGTGTCCGATCATCTTCTCCTCAAAACAAGAGGACCCAAAGGGAGCAGCTTTGCTCTCACCATGTGTGCTAGTGTTCTCACCAGCTGAACCATCATCTTGGTTTTCATAGGAGAAAAGGGAAAGACAAAACTGGAAATAGTAACCAGTAGAGTCTCTCAGGTATGGAACACAAGCAAGATGCTTATGGGATGCCTTTGGAGAAGGATAGCAGAGATAAAACCAGATGGAAATTACAAATATAAGGCAGAAGCCACTGTCCGCAGTGTCTTACAGTTCAGTATTTTTACCCATATTTTCTCTGGTCACTTTTTTAAAAATAAGAATATGTAACTTTGAGGATTTTTTCTCAGAAGTGATAATATTCTTTTAACTTTGGATGATGTAAAAACATTTTGGGATAATACTATTCTAAACTGATTCTAAACCTTATGTTTAAAAAACTGTTGCAGTGTTATAACGATCAACTTTAGGGGCCTAATCAATGTAGGCAGATGTGATGAATAAGTCACTTCTCCTAAATCCTTCTTATGTTTCAATAGCAAGTGTTCTTAAATTATTAGAAAGATGTATATTGTGTCATTTTTAAGCTATGGTCACACTTCCTCCTACAGTAGAAGATAAAAGGCCCATCTACATACTGCTAGCAAGAAAATAAATTTCATAAACTTGCCAAAAGACTTAACAATAGGCATAACAAGAAACAATGGGAAAAAACTTTGGAGTCAGCCTAAATGTCCATTAATACATAATATGTATGATACATAATTATAACGAAATAATATAGAGCCATGAAAATAGAGAATATTTAAATAACATGAAAACATGACCTGCTCTACTGTCAAGTGAAATAGCAAGTTACAAAACAACATGTATAATGTTAGCCCAATTTAAAAAAAAAAGTGTGTGTGTGTGCATATGTGTGGTATTGTGATATTTGTAGAGAAAGACAAACTCAAAGGATATATAGAGAGAGAATATTCAAATGGCTATTTTATTTCTTGATTATAGGACTTGATGTGATTTTGGTTTTGTCTCTTTGTTTGTTCATAAGTTGTAACAATAAAATATAAAATAAACACTGACTAGGTGATATTGAGAATTTTATTTTGATGTCTCTATGGTACACGCCTTGGTGTTGATATAAAACTGGTTATATTTACCACCATGATTAATTGTACATATTTTGCCTTCTACTCATCTCTGTTTAACTGTTCTTACCCTGCTCATGCCTTTTAATAAAGATGGTTGCTATCTGGCCAGCTGGATCAATGAATTTATTTATTCTGTTTATAATTAAGCTTCATAAACTGATACTTGTCATTGGCATTTATGATTCTATTTTTTCAAGGTTCATTAACTCATTAATTAGTCCATCTTTGCAGTATGTGCTCCCATTTCCTGAGCCATGAGATTTCAGTCTATCTTCATTGTCTTTGAGCCATATCCCTCAAAGCAGCATAGTGATTCAGTTCAACAGCTATTTCTTGAGTAGCAACAAGGTGCAGAGCATGACACCAGGAAGTGTGGGAATGGCACCAAGGAACAAGACAGAGCAGCACAAAGTCTAGGGATCAAGAAAACCCAGGCATTAAGTAACCATATAGTAACCATAATGCAATGAATTCAAAAGCAGCATAGAAGTAACCGTAATGCAATGATTTCGAAAGCAGCATCTAAATACCCATTCCAACTCCCAGATCCATCCTGCATCTGCCAACTTCCTACAAAATGCTTGTTTACGTCATTCTTGTTAAAATATCACAAGTTGGAAATGTCAAAATGGGAAAGTGTGATATGACACATCTTTAATAGATATAAATGCTCAGAAAGCAGGGACATGGGTGTATTTCAACGGTGATATCTTAAATAAAATCCAGTCTAGTCATCAGGGAGCCAAATTAGATAAACCGTCTCTTTGTGTCCAAACTCACTGGCTTATCACCAAGTGTATAACCTCATGAATTCTAGCCACAAACACATCTTGTTTTATTTTGCAGGTAAGCAAATGTGCACACTGCCAGGAGCTACGTCTTGTCTTCTTTGCCCAGAAGTCCATGCTGAAGTCCACATTAGGGGACAGGATGCCTGCTTAAGGGTCGGGGTCCAGATCCTCCAGATATTTTCCCAACTGTGGGATTTTCTCCACTACAGTTAGAGCCTAGGGTTTGAATCTGGCTGTGGGACGGGCTCTTGAGGCAGAGTTGTCTCCAGCTGCTGCCACGCCATTGAGTAGCTGAGAGAATGAGGTTTCATGTTTGTCACCACTGTCTCTTTCTGCCTCTCACACGTGTGATGATGATCGGTATCTGGTTGCCTTAGAGACTGTCAGACCTGGCATCTCTGTTTATCTGCAGAACACTTGGTGGTTTCTCAAAACAGGTGTGGCCTGGTTGAACATAGTGTAGCCACAATTTTTTTTTTTTTTGAGAAGTTGCTTTGACTCTGGTGGCTTTTACCAACTTTCCGAATGTCACTCAGTCTCTCTCAAAGGCTATTTGTCAAAGTTGCTGGTGAACTAGTCTCTTACCTGTTTTTTTTTCCTCTGTATTTTAAAAGATGCAATACTAGATAGACAAAAAGCTTATGGAAGCAAAAATTGGTTCAAAGGGACAATTCTATATTTTAAGTGTGGCCTGTATATTGACAACTGGTTCTGGCCCCCTCGCTGGTGGTGTGGCTTCTGAGGTAAATGACATGATGAAAACCAGTTCTTATTTGGTAAACTCCAGTAGGTTACAGAGCTGAGGGAGTGATACCATCTCCAACCACCATATATATAACCCCATTGCTATGAAGCTTGTGACCAGTAAAGGTATTGAAAGTATGTTAACATTGGGTCAGAGTAAGCAGGGAAAACAGACTCTATGTCACTATGTCACTAAAAAGGTGGTGGGGGGTGGGGAGTGTCCAAGCAAGAAACCTTCTAGAGAGGGCCTGAAAATTAGTGAATACGGAAAGTGTAGGAGAAGCTGAGTCTATTTTTCTAGAGAGGAGACGTTTTAAGAAAGCCAAGAGGGCTGACTTCAAATATTGGGAAAGGAGCACAAATACATAAGTAACCATATTCATTACGGTGTCAGAGGGCAGAACTGGGTCCAAAAGGTGGACTTAACAGTTTAAAAGGGGATCGAATTCAATTCCATGGAGGCAAGAACTATTACCCACAAGATCCCATCTAGTAACAGTCATCAGCCTGATGACTGTTTCTCAGGCTTGTTGTGGAAGGATTTCTGTACTAGGAGAAAGATTGGATTAGACCTTTGAGGCCCTTTCCAAATATAAGATGCTATCTGTCTAATTAATTGCCAGTCATAGTCTTAGGTGTTGCCCTGGGCTCTCATCTCTGTGTCATTGAAATTTGGATTCACTTCTCCTTAACTGTTAGATAATCGAATGGATTCACCTCTTTAAATCAGCAGTCAGCAGGAATAGGAGGATAGATGAATGCCTGGACTCTCCGCCTGATTAATTAATGCCCCAGAGCCTTGATTTAGGAAGATCCAGGAGACCGTGAAGACAGTCAGAGGTGAGTGGAATCAGCCAGGTCCCCATGTCTATTTGCCTCCTCTAAGGAGAAAACAATTCCCTTCCTTCTGGGGATTTGAGTTCGGGGAGGTTTTGATCTTTAGCAGGGATGGGGGGCGTTGTTTGTTTGATTTTTGGCCTGGCATTCTACAAGGCATCATAATAAACACTTGAGTGGCCAACCCAATTTTGTCTCCCTCTCTGGTGAGAGTGAAAAGCATACAATCTACAGTCAAGTTTTGGTTTCAGCTCAGTCCCTTGTGAGTTACGTGGCCTTGCTGCAGGCTGCTTCACTTTTGGGGGACCTCCATTTTCTCATTTCTGAAATGGAGTCAGCACTATGTTACAAGTTTAGAGGAATCAAAAGAGAAAATACATGTGAAACTACTTCATAAGCTTTGAAGCACCTTTTTTAAAATTTATAGTCAAATTTTTTTAACTGTATGTTATGGTCAGCGTAGAATGTAAAAAGCACATTTTTCACTCTGTATTAGACATTAGAAGCAACATTTCTTGATCTTCCAGTAAGTTCTAAGGAAAAACAAATGATTGATGAGAGCCATCGCTTTGAGTCTACTCTTGGAAGTGAAACAGCGCATGAGGTCAGCAGCAGGAAAATTATGTCTTCCTCAAATTCTCAACTCTGGGTTGGGGTAGATGAACAAATAGGAACTATTTGTGCAGGAACTATCAGGTATTATTAAGTAAGCCTAACAACTAAGGCAATACACCTAGAAATTCACAGGGAATGAAGATTCTAGGGAGTTTATGGAGTCCAGGCTTCAGTTGTTTGTAGTTAATAGTTATGAAGACTTGACCTTTTTTCATCATTTCTGCTTTAAGAGGAAAATGTTCATGGACAGTCTCTCCAATGCCAAGGAACAGAAAGAAACTTCCCAGTAGGAGAGAAATATTTCACACAGCAGGTTTTAGCAGAGCTTCTCCCATCTCTGTGGAAATAAAACTGTGTGACCATATTGTATTAATAATCTCTGTCGATCGATATTTTGTTGTTTGTTTCAAGCTTTTCCTGCATCACGTCAAGTCTGTATTTTTTGTTCGCTTTACTTGCAATCAGAGAAAATACGTAGCCACAAAACTTCACTCTATTTTCAAAAGCGCAGTCAGAATGTTACACTTCTAAATTGTGGCAACGGGGCGAGACACACCCTGAAGACAGAGAACTTTACACCTTCACAAGAAAACAGAGAAACCAAGATATGATAGCTTGTACATACCAAGAAAAATGTGCCCCAACTTTGAAAGCCCATTTTAGGGGTGAGCAGGACCACGCCATGACAAAACCGAGATGCTGGGTGGTCTTCACTCACTTTCCCTCCTTCTTCCCCAGTGGATGCCAGAGACTTTGAGCTTCCTCACCCAACACAGAGTTTCACACAGGACCTTCCATCTCTAACTGCTTTCAGTACCTCAGGCCCAATTATTTCCTGACATCAGATTTTTCACCAAGAATCTCTCTGTCATCCATTCTCTTAGGACACAGTTCTCTGGTGATAGGAATGAGCCCTGACAAATCCACGTTCCTGAAACCTTGATTATGACAGCCATTTTAGGGAGCTGCTTTGTGTGTAAAAAGTGAAGTTCTCAACATACAGTCTTACTATAGTGAAAGGAGTGATTTTGGTTGCATCATGGCAAGCTGACAGAAGAGATTAATTGAGGACAAATCTCTGGGACCTGTACAATCAGACCATGCAGAAAGCTGCCCGCCTTGTCCAGGCATGGAGTCAGTGCTGGGGGAACTGATAAACTCTTATACTCTTCCAAGCTCCTGCTATGGAGCTTCACTCAGGAAAAAGACAGGACCTCTGTGTGGACACTTTCCCCCAGGTCTCCTGTCTGTGAGTGTAAGTCTGAAGGCTGACCTGTGGGCCTTTATGAATAAAAGTAGGAAATAATATCCCAGCACACAATGCTCTCAATTATATTTCTCTCTCACTCACTCTCTGTCTCTCTCTCTGTTTTCCTCTTTCTTCCTCTCTCTCTCCATATCTATTAAACTATTACTGATGTATAACCGTGGCAACTAAAAACTGGGCTTAAGTTGAGCACTGAATTGATGCATTTAGGCCTTCAATCATTCATTCATTAAATTTAAGTATTTGAGCATGTGTTCCACAAATCCTTACTGAGCATTTACTATATGCAAGGCAGTATGCTGGTCAGTGGGGATTTAGAGGGAAAAGGGCCCTCTCTGCCCTTCAGAAGAAGCTTGCAGGCTCCTGGACAGAGACAAATGAACAGTAAATGAAGATACAGTTGTGAGAAGCTCAGAGTACAATGTGAACTTAGGCAGGGGCACTCGGAATGGTCGTGCAAGGTCAAGAAAAGCTTCGTGGAAGATACAGTATCTCAGTTGAATCCTGAAAGAAGCAGGGAGGGGCAGCCTGTGAAGACAGGTCAAAGGTTTGCATTCTGCTCCATGAGTCCCGCTTCTGAAAGGTCGGGGAGATCAGATTATATGGCAGGACCAGTGAGTTTTATACTATGACCAGACACAGCATACAAGATGGAGAATTGAAGGAGATGAATTTGAAGAGAAAAATCATACAGAATATCACACTGGATCTTGCATTCTTTTGCTATCATTTACAGCCAAAGGCCTGGTTGGATAGAACTTCTCAGAGGGTGCCACTTGAATGACAAAGGTCATAGAATTATAACATTGGATGGAGTTTAGGGGCCACGTACTAGAACACCTGCCCCCCAGGGCCTGCGTACTCTGTATAACATCTAGCGCACACCTCCGGGGAGGAGGAGCCGGCTCCCTGACTGAGCAGCCCTCTCTCTCCGAGTCCAAGGGCCTACAGTGGTCTTCCATTTTTCTTTTAAGAAAGATGATTTGATGACCCCTGCCCTCAAGGGGCTTGCATTTTAATGTGAATGATGCATTCATTGTTGATAAAACAATCTGGAAATAATCAGACAGATAATAACATAGTAGACTAGGGTGAGCAGACTTTAAGATTTGTTTTTTCTTATTTCGATGAGTTAGGATACAAAAAAGGACAAGACACA